TCTGTTTCATCAATGACCCTCACCTTAAGCTTGTACACTGAAATTCATAAGCAATAAAATATTATTTGTAAGAATTTCATAAAAAAGTTGAAATATGATGCCAAAAAAATAGCATTGATTAGTACCTAGGCATGACTTTCATGACATGTTTATTACATTTTTCACGAGAAAAACATTTTGGAATCTGGATATACTTGCTTTGTTGCACACACAAGTCTGTATACCACCAATCATCATCATGAACAATATGTTTTATAGTGCCTAGAATTACAAAACTTGTTTCTGTAAAAACAAATATGAACAATAGTAATTAAAACTAAAATGAATAGACAATAACCACGATGAACATCACTAATTAATAGGAATGGAGTAATGAATAGACTAATAATGACTATGACACCTGTTTACAATCTTTTAAACCCTCTATTGTATTTCTAGGAGTAGATTGAAGAAATTCATCTTCACTGGTTTGTTTAGAAGAGTCGGAAAGTCGGCTTAACCCTTGGGCAGGTGACTCCATACTCTCGGACATCCCGCATTCAATAAAACATGAAAAGTCAAATGGACATTTTAGTTGGTTAACACTTCAAGTGAAATTTATGATTTACACCTTTTTTTAAGTTGTCTAGCTTCTTCGCACTCAGCATTGAAAATTATCCTTGTACAATCCATACAATTTTGCACATATACTTTATCCGTAAATAACATATAAAGATATAAAACTATAATATAATATCAATAATTGTAACTAACTATAACTAATTATAACATCAATATATTAGTTACCTTGGAAGATTTTGACTTTGCCGAATTGTATGATTATGACGGGATTTTGGATATCTCCGGATGCAAGGAATGCATTTAGGTCATCAACATATTGACCAAACAACGTACACTCTACTCTAAAACTAAGTTTGAAAAACAACACATGTTAAAAAAAAAAAACTATACTATACTATAGTAAATCCTTAAGCATCAATAAATGGGTTAAAGAGCTTTACCCATCGACCTCTAAGCATATCATGTTTAGTTTTGTTTTTTTACCATTCTTGTCTAGCTCTCTTTCGTCCCAACTCCCGTAAGTATTCCCATGACATCTCGTGTTTGTGAAATGATGTTTCATGTGAGTAACACCATATGCTAAATAATAAATAAATAGTATATGATAAAACGAGTATTTAACATCATGTTATATGCACTTACCAACCAAATAATCTGTGTCAAATCCAGGAGCCGTAATAAGCTGAGAGTGGTATATATTGACCATTATTTTCGGTTATAACATGACAATCAACTAAGTTCACTTTGGTTCCAAAGCTGGAAGTTGATTTTGTATGGGTGGTGGGTGGTTTTATAAGAACCACCATTTGATCCAAGACCAAAATTTTGAATAGAGTACACACGCCCCTCGGTAATTTCATTTTGAAATTTATAGATGAGAGACCTCCTAACGGAACCCTGAATTCTGTCACCCTGCATTAAGAAAATGAAATCACAATTGAGTGTTATTTAAAATGTATTGAAAGCATGGTAAACCGACCTTCATATCTTGCATGACAAAGTCCATGGAAAATGGCAATTTGTGTTTAGTGAAATCGAAACAAACCACGAGCGTATGACCTTTGCCAATATATTCCAATTTTCTTTTTCAAGACTGAGTTCGAAACGAGTGATACTTTTTTTGCAAATTAGACATGTTGCAAACTCGAATGTAAAAAATAGATAGAGAATAACCCACTCAACGTAGAAATATTATCATCACGAGATGTATATTTATAAGCATGGTGGAAAGAGGGAAATGTTGCTCGTATTCTAGAATTTGAAATTTGAAATTTGAAATTTGAAATTTGAAATTTGAAATGTTGACAATATTAAAGTAATCCGAATTAAAACTTTTGTAAAGGGAAGATATTACCATTTTCATGTATCCGACATCCTGTATTTCAGTCATGATGTAAAAAACAACAATTTTTATACCTCCGACTTGGGCTAAATGCAAATCAATAAGCAAAATTACATAAAACTATACTTGAAATAGGTATAAACAGATGTACAACCCTAATGACGGTCAAAGAAGACAATATTGAACTCTAATGATGATAAAAAAGCAAACTTTTTTCATGAAAAAAATTTCAACTTCGCTCTTGAAGGTAAACAACATAAAGATTGAAAATCGGTAACTTTTAAATTCAAAAACCTTAGATCAAAGCTAATCGGTAACATTTTTTCCGAAATCGGTAACTTTTAAATTTAAAAACCTTAGATCAAAGCAAATCGAGTAACCTTTTTTACAAAATCGGTAACATTTAAACGCAAAACCTTAGATACAACCCTAATGACGGTCAAAGAAGACAATATTGAACTTTAATCATGATAAAAAATATAACTTATCTCGAACATGCAGATGGAAATACTACTTGAGGGAAGACGTGCAACAAAAGAGATTTCATGCTTCTTTTGAGACACCGATCTTGCATAAAATAGGAAAGATTGCAGCGAAAGAAGACGTGCGAGAGCGAAGAAAATGTGCAGAGCAAGAAGACTTGCGACAAGACGGCGCAAAGGAGCATATGAGAGCATATGAGATATTCGAGAGAGTATTTGAGCTGAGGAGAAGCATGGGCTTGCAGTATTGTTGTGGCCAAAGAAGCAGTTTGTCTTTTTGTACAAAATAGGTATGTTTTGTAAAAAATTAGTTTATGATTTTTTTTGAAAAAAATTGTAGTGATTACACGTGTAGAAAGTTGCTATTTGTGTTACCTGGATTTGTATATAGTTATATATATATATATATATATATATATATATATATATATATATATATATATATATATATATATATATATATATATATATATCATTTTAATTGTTTGAGCTCTGATTACAGTAGATTATACTTTGAAAAACGATATTCATGATTTATCTTATTACCTAACTATCATCCATGTGATTATTGCAGTTAAAGTTCTTTAAATTAATAACAGCAATAACCATATATTACTTTTTGAGACCGTTTTATTAAAAAAAATCTCTTAATAAATGTTACTTTTAATAGATAGGGAGTAATTAATTTGAGAATAAATTAGGAATAAAAACTAATACTTTAAAAAATAAGTGAATTTAATTTTTTTTTAAAGACTAAAATTGTATGAAAAAAAAAATCATAAAAGCATTTATTTATTACTTCACCATTTTCATAAATAGGAAACAGAAACGCATCTATAATAAAGCTACATAACTTTCGTTTTCACGCATGTATACAGACCGAGTTGGTTTCGTTCTCACGCAAATATGGAATAAAAAATAGTGATTTGATCCAGCTTCGTTGGCAGGGTCTGAATTGTTTCCTATTCATGAAGTTGAATTGAACGTATGACGAATACGAAGTAAAGTTAATGGAAACAGCTATTAATTAGATGGCAACAACAGGCATTTAACCTTGTGGTGACAGAACTGCATGAACTTCTGGCTACTCTCCAATAACTCTTAGAACTACAATAAATTATCGTTCACAACATTTCCTTTATTCCTTACTCATTGGAGAATGCCAACTATTATCCTTATATTTATACAAAATGTAGCATTTAATATTACTAAAATACCTCATCATGATTTCAAAATGTTCAACAAAATCCTCTTTACTGATTCTTCTTATTTGTGTGCTGTAAAAATAAACTCACTCTGAATGGAAAGTGATGCAAAAGATTGTGTAATTAAAGTGGTGTGTAAATAATGCTGTCCACCTCTTTATTTGGCAGTCCCTGCCTCTCGCCCTGGAATCTAGGGAGAAGCCTACCCTCTCCAAGGTCACTACCAGCGTTGAAGTACGAAATGCAAAAAAACTTGGGTGCTCTATATTGCTGGTCCATTCTGAATTTATGACGAGTGTCTCTTTCTAGCCATAACACTAATTATTTTTATGTTTTACCAAAACTCATCCCCTGAAGAACTTCCAAGTTATTATAGTTTTCTAGTGAGGAAAGGAACACAGAAGCTGCTTGGACGGGTCAGGTCAGTGTAAAAAACGGAATGCTTAGCAAAACCACGAAAAAGGAAAAGAAACTCTGGCTGGCCTATTTCCCGTAAAAGGTTTAAGAACATGCTTAAAAGGTTAACATTAAAGTAGATAAACTTGACCTTTCAGTATGAACCTCACTCAACCTTTCAATAAAACTGTACCACTTGTAAACAGTAGGTAATTAGTATCTAAAGATAGAAGGAAAATTCAGCATTGATTATCCAATTATAAACAATAAGGCGTCCAAGAATACAGCCTACCGAAAGTAGTTCGCATCAGGTGCACTTATCAAGAGCTATAAAGCTGTGTACACATTACTTGGTAACCAAATGTGCCATGATTCTTTCTTGAAGCAAGGTCTTTTAGCATACTCACAACATATCAGCAATTCCGATGTTATGGTGTGTGTGTGTGTGTGTGCGCTATATCTAATACTGTTCTGTTTTCCATACCAATCTCTTGAATATAAGAAAAAACAGAAGATACAGGCGCCCAAGACTAAAGGTATCTAGGACTAAGATTTCAGACAAAGCATCTATTAGTACCAAAACTATCACATTGTATAAAAGTCATTTGAAGCTACAAAAGAAACTGCCCTTTTTCGACCTTAGAGAAAATAAATAAAAGAAACACACGTACAACAAATTCCAATATAAACAAATGAAACAAAATCTAGAATGTGGTGAGAAATCAAATAACGTGCTTACAGGATGCAGCATTCAGGGTGAGGTAGCTACTTGGCTTTTGACAAGCCACACCAATCTTCAACACAAGATTAGGGAATCTTAATCTTTATTTCCTGATAATCGTGGATCATGGTAGTAAATGTTGTTGGAGCACCACCCGAGAGCTTGAGCAATCTCAGATTGGCCAGCACTCAATTACCTGAACGCTCCAGGGAAAAAATTAAAAGAATATGTCCTAGCTTCTACGTTCCAAAACTCCATTTCACTTCTTCACTTCACTCCACTAATCCACTCCATCATTCAGATCTCCTCCTCAAGTGCTGAGAAACAGGAGTCCCTTCAAAAAAGTCCAAAACAGCATCCTCCAGCTCCTCAACAGAGTACTTAATGTAATTCTCCGGATGCCTCGCACTCTCTATGTGGCTCCTGAACCTCCCAAGAAATGATCTATAAGCCGGAATCAGCTTCTCCGATATTGATATCCTCAACTCCTCCCTGAGCTGCGAATCCGGTATCAACCAAACCGCCTGAGTCCTATGAACCTCCTCAAACATGGCATTGAAAGTCTTAAACCTCTCCCTCAGAGCACTCTTGGACACCCCAGAAGAAAACCCCCCACTCACATGCAACCCCTCATCCCTCAAACAATACAACACCCTCACCCATGTTGCCCTTTGGTAGCTCGTCGCTGCCTGCCGGAACTTTCCGGTGAGCTTCTTCAAATAATCATCCCCAATCATCTCCCTCAACTCCGGACTCCCCCTCACCTTCTGCACAATGTAGTGTACATTGTTCATCACAAACAAGTGGGCCAAAGACGCGTCCTTGTAGTGCTTACTCTTCCCATCCAAGTTGAATTGCAAAATCACAATAATCCAAATCAAGTGCACATCCAAAGGGGTCTTCTCCTCAAACTCACTCAAATCCAAATCAGGTATCCCAGGATCACCCGAATACCTAGACCCCGTGGAGGGCTTAGACACTATAAGCTCATTCAAAGTAACCTTGTAATCAGAGATCAAACTTATGTAATTCATCACGTACCGAGTCAAAGGGTGAATCGTCCCACCAGGAACAGGAACCCTAGAAGGTTCCCTAAGCACAGCGTTCTCAAACTCGGACAAAATCCCCCTCGCAGCCTCCCCCAACCTCGACAAAATCTCCGCCGCCTGAACCCTAATCGACTCCGAGGACTTGGAATCAAACACAATATCAATATCCGGCATCAACTCCGTCAATGCATCGTGCAAATCGAGAATCTTGAACAACTTCTCCGGCGACCTTCGGCTAATACTAATCGCCTCGGCGAAGTTGAAGAGCTGAATCGCAGGGCCTTTCACAGTCTCCATGAAGCATGCGTCATCGATGGCGGTTCCAACTCCATCGAAGATTTGCTCACAGAGCTTCTTCTCACTGGCAAAGAGCGTTCTGACGCACACTTTCGCGGCTCTTATCCAGCGTCTGATTTTGTTCTCGAGCTGCTCCCACTCTAGGCGTTGCACGTCGCCGATGCTGAGCTTCTCGATTCCGAGCTTGCGGAAGCTGGCGTCGACGGAGGATTTTCTGACGCTGCCGTAGACCTGGATGCACTCGCGCAAGTAGCCGGAAGAGACCATGCGTTCGGCGATGCAACGGAGGTCGTAGACGGCGTCAGAGGGGATGAGATCGATCTCGCGGATGCAGCTGTTGGAGCGGTAGCTACTATTGACGGAGGAAGCAGCGCCCTCACTGTGGAAACGGAGGAGAGAGGTTTGGCTCACTTCGTCGTTTTCGTCGCTGTCGTTGTGAGGGTGCCTGGGGGAAGAGGAGGAAGAAGGAGGGTCTAGGGTTTGTGAGGGTTCGTCTTCGGTGGTGGGGTCGAAGGGGTTGGTGTGGGAGATGAGGATGTTGCGGAACTCGTCTTCTAAGCGGGCCATGGCGATCTGGATGGCGGAGTTGACTTTCTCCGAGACGGAAACGGAGGATAGGGATCGCTGGATTTCGTCCACCGCTTGCAGGTAGAGATCCGCCTCGTCGCGGTCGCCGGCAAATATCATCTTGTCGCGGGCATCCTCCGACGCCGTCGAGTCCCACCGCAGAATGATCTTCTCCGCCGTCTCGAGCGGGAGGCTCTCCATCATCAACGGAATCAAACGGCGGAGACAGAGAGAGAAAGAGAAAAGGATATAGTTTTTGTCTGAATAATAGAGATAGAGATAGAGAGAGAGAGAGAGAGAGAGGGCGTAGAAAAAGTTGGCGTTTTGGGTAAAAGAAATTGCTGTACGTGGAAAATGAAACGAAGAAAAAGAGACTTGTGTTGTTGTGTGTTGTGGGAGTGGTGTAAGAGTGGTTCATATGATTGATTGCATGACTCATTTGACTTTTAAAATGCCGCCGTTGGAATATTTTACTGTACATTCCGGCCAATTTTGGTGTTCTCCTTTTCTGTTTTGACCTTTTTTGCATCCTCTTCTTATACAACAATATCATCACAAACTCATAACCATTCCCTTTTTGCATCCTTATCTTTTATACATATTTAAAATTCATGTAATTTTTGTTAGTTTCTAAATTAAGTTTGATACTAATTTTCTCTTCTGTTATATCAGATGCTTTTCACTGTTACATTAGTTTCCCACTTTGTCTGCCAGCAACAACCACGAGATTGTTCCTTTTCCTTTAGTGGACTGACACTAGAAACTTGTTCTAGTTCTAGTGGTGGAACTGAAATTGGTGTTTAGTTTGAAATGCTTTGCTACCAATTTATACATACATCTCCATACACTGTTGGTATAGTTGAAAGGTGAGTCACATGTGTTTATTAATCATTCTAAAACAGTGAAGTGAGTGTATTAATTGCTTGAATGACCCATTTGCATTGTTTGGAGTATGTGATTTGTAAAATTGAAGGTGACTCAATAATTATTATGAATAACTGGAAATATAGGGAATATGGAGAGGATTGCAGTTAAGAACAAGAAAATCATTTGGATTTCCTCGTTTGCAGGAGTTTGGCATTGAAGCCAATGTTGGGAAAAAGAGTGGGTTTTCAGAATTTATGAAAAGTAATGATAGCAGAGTATGTGGGTTGGGTTAGTAGTGAATAATGAGCACATGAATGAGGACCCAGTTTGGTTGGTAGAATTGAGAAACCCTTTATCAGTCATCAACATTTGGTGGTAGAGAACACTTATGAACCCAATCAATTTCATCTATTATCGTTCATCATGTTCTGTGAGACAAAAATTAATTAATACTGTTATATACATCATCAATTTGTTGTCTACAAATATAATTTTTCATTATTTATAATATTAAGGATTAAGTATATTTTTAGTTCTTATATTTTTTATTTAAATTGAAAATAGTTACTCTCGTAAGTAGTTTTTATAAAAATGATTCTTATATTTTTGAAATAATTGAAATAGGTCCTTATTTTAAACGGTTTTAGGTATATGCTTGAAATAATTGAAATAGGTCCTTATTTTAAACGATCTTAGGTATATGCTTGACGTAAATAATGACTCATTCATTATTTGACACGTTTAATTATTTAAAAAATAAAATTAAAAAGTGTCAAACTTTTAAAAATCATTTAAATCCATATATTATAACATTTAAAAGGAAATTTAAACTTTTGTCAATTATAAGTCATTTAAATTTAAATTTAAAGCATTTAAAAGTCATTTAAAAATCGATCTATATCTAGATCATTCCTTTTGAATTTAAATACAATTCATCTTTAAAATGAATTATATTTTGCATTCTTAAAAAATGGAGTGTACCATATATGTTTCTCCACATACACGTACCATTCAAATACATGTTCTTGCATTTAACATGTTTCTTTATTTTTTAATGTCCACTCACAGCATCCAGAATCATGTTTCAATCTTATCCCACATTCAACCAAGCTACATTCAACCAAGTGGAGGGAAACAATGGAAAATATGTAATTTAATATAAGAACTTGTCAACATAAAGTACTACAATAAAGTTGAACCACACTATTTTTAAGTAATATATAAAAAAAGTGGATCACAATTGTTGATCATAACTGAAGCAAAACTACAAAACAGTTAATCACTTTACATTACAAAAGTAGTATGGACCGCTTCATATTACAATACTCAAGTAATTTACATTATAAAACCCATTAAATTTCATGTGGACTAGGCAGTAGGGTTGTTGAAGCTGGCTTGGGAGCCTAATGTTGGTGGTCTCCCTCTCCTTCTTGGTGCTGGAAGGTTGGTGATAGATTTGGGCTGCCTCTTATCCACTGTTTCAGCAGCTGTAGTGTCTATAGATGTAGCTGGTCTTTCTCTGGAATATGCTGATTTGCTAACTCAATTGCATCCTTGTCCAAACTAAAGAGTTTTAAATCCTTATCCAGGATTCCCGTACTCGGTTTCCACCATAACTTAAACTGACCAACATATTTTAACTCATTTACAATTCCCACAGTTTCAAAATAAGACCACATATCTTAGTCAACATTACATATCCTATGTTTCTCCCCACACTCGTAACGCAAATTTTTCAACCTCACAAATTTACTCATGTAGTGAAATGTTACAGAGAAACTCATTGTAATCTTATAATGTGAAAAATTGATCTAAACAATGTACGAGAAAAACATTAAATCATTTTAACAAAACCCCTCAAATGCATGCATTAGAATACAAAATAAACATTTAGTTTCGCAAATGAAAAAAACATATCTTAATTTTCGGAAATGAAAACCCTAGTTATGGTATACCACCATCACACACTACACCGTCGCACTGCTAGTCGAACCACAACGAACCGATGGAACCATCGAACTTCAAAGTCACTTTGACTTCATATAACCTTTACAGAGAAAGGGGGAGAAAGAAAAGACATTTAGTGTAAGACGAGAAAAGAAGAGAGAACGAAAAGAAGTTGTTACGAGAAAAGAAGAGAAAATGAAAAGTGGTTGTGACGAAAACTAAAGAGTTTTGGTGCGTGAGGAGAAAAGAAAAACTTATACTTTTTAATTTTTTTTTTAATAATAATCTCTGTTAAATCATATTTTTTTTTTAAAGAAGAGTTTTGCTTTTTTTTTAAATAATTACACGTGTCAAATAATGAATGAATCATACTATCTTAGTTAGACAGGTCACCATATATTTAGCGGCGTATAAAATAGGGACCTATTTCAATAATTTCAAAAGTATAGAAATCATTTTTATATGAACTTTGACAAAGAGACTATTTCCAATTACACATAAAAGTACTGAAACTAAAAACATATTTAACCATAATATTAAATATAGCTTATTTTATCTTTTGAATTATCAAAAATCATATAAACATGTAACTTGTATGAAAACAGACAATTTTTTATTTATTTACCAGCATTATATATTTAATTACATGTAAAATAATCATGATTAAAGATATGGCAAAAGCAACTCTTAACTCTTAATTCGAGTTAATAAGTACTAATTTTTTTTCCTATTTTATATAAAGAATCGCGATATTATTACAAATATCATATTTGTATATATTGTTCTAAGAAATTCTCTTGACCTATTTCTAGCTAGTGTAAAATTTTATTTTTAAATTTTATATTATTTCATAATAGGTTATTTCATCTCATGTAAAATATAAGATGAAAATATTTTAAAAATATTAAAAAAAAAGACTTCTTATTCTTGTAGACTAATTTAATAAATAACTACAAAGAATAAAGAAAATTTCAAATATTTTTATTACTAATAAATGGGTCGTGCTTCAATAGATTCAAAATTGCACATTGAGAGATTATTATGGTCACATGGAACCTATAATTTATCTATTTCACTTTTTCTCTTGTCAGTTTTATTTTAGAATTTATTTTTAATATATAAAATCAATTAAAAATCCACTCCAAATATAACTTTAAAAATAATTATTGTAAAAATCAATAGCCATATTGTTAAATAAATTGTTAAAAACTTGCATGATATCATTCAAGTTTAATTAGATTTTTTTTTAATTCCAAATATGAACAATTTTTACCATAAGGATTTAATATTGTACTAAATTCTTAAAAATTTAAAGGGTATTGTATCCACCCATTTACTTTCGTGTAGGTGACTTTTTCTTAATATTTTTACTAACTGTCCTTCAATTGACTTTTTTTTAATGTAAGCGACCCTTAATTTAATATCATTAATTATTATTAAATTTAAATAGCACACAACTCTTTGTTCAATATTAGTATATAGAATATCTAAATAGTAGTATTCGCGATGAATATGTAGCAAAATTAGTTGTGAAATCATATTTTTGGACAAAATACAAAATATTTAATACAATTGAATCATTAAATATATTCAAATAAAATAAAATAATGATAATGTTATTAAGAATTGAAGAATAAAAATTGGAAAATTTAATAATTTATAAGAAGTAAAGATTTATATTCTATTATATATTATTTTATATAATTGATTCGTATTTTATATATTACAATCTTTAGATTATCAATCTAACAGTGATATTGATTTTTGTATAATTTTATTATTTTTAGTTAAATCTATATTATTTTTTGCACATATATATATATATATATATATATATATATATATATATATATATGCACATTAATTCTTGTATGATGTATTATTGGGTAATAAAAGATGAAGAATGGTAAGTGGTAAATTTCATAAGAAAGTTGTTATTTATTATGATATTAATTATTATTTGGATAGAGTATCTATCAGTAATTGAATAGAAAAGAGTCTTTGTCAAAATCATTGATGAATAGTTTTGACAAGCCAATAGTTTGCAAGAGGAATTAAATTGAGTCACGTCCTGTTTCCACTAAAAAATAAAATAAAATAAAAGGTTTAATAATAATAATAATAATAATAATAATAATAATAATAATAATAATAATAATAATACAGATTACACATACGATATATTCAATAATATATTTATTTGCATGATTACCAAGATACGACAAAACTTCTATCTCCATGACCATACATGCCATACATAGAATAAAATAAAATTTGAGGATGATTTTGTCATAGACTTGGAGAAAAGTTTAATTTTGAAGAAGATGCCTTTTGATGACCATGCATACAACATAAGAGTTTATATTTTTTTCATAAAAAAAAATTGTAAGTATAAAAATTAATATCAATATAATAATAATTATAGATATTTTCTCTTTTAAAATAATATTAATGCTAATAAAAAATTCAGTAGTCATCTAAACTAAATTTTTAATGGAACAACTTTCAACTCATCTTACATTTATGACTCGTCTAAAATAAATTTACGAAACATTTTTTTCTGTTGACATTTTCTCTATTAAAGAAAGTTAAAAATATTATAAAAAATAAAGATATTTTGCGAAGAATGAAAAAAAAGATTTGGAAATAAAAAGACAAAATAACCTAATAAATAAATTTAATGAAACATACACCAACCATTATAAAATTATTAAAAAAGTTAGATATATAAAATAATTATACACGATATTCATTTTATAGTCGTTGTGTATAATTATAATTACAAATAAATTATTATTAAAAAATTAAAATTAATTTAAAAATTATTATTATTTTCAACAATAATTCATATAACTTAGTTAAAAACTTCCATCTTTTATATTTTTTATATTAGTAAATGTTTTATTTTATAAAATTATGTATCTGTTTATAAAAAAAATATAAATATAATTTATTTCATTAAATAATGTCTCTTTGAATAGTTTAGTTTTTTACCAAAATTATATAAGATTAGATACTGAAGTTTAATATATATATATATATATATATATATATATATATATATATATATATATATATAATGGTCTTAATTTAAAAATTTTACATGTAAAAATAAAAAATAATAATATTTGCATTTCAATGAGTGTTTTTTTTAGCTTATGCACATATTTTGTTGCTTATACCTCGTGCAGATCAAAATAATGGACTGGCTTTACTCCAAGGGTTTTATCATTGTAACTTATTGCATCCAATTTTTTATATAGCATAGTGAGATGAATCAAACTTAAAATGTTTTAAAATATATTATAAATTTACAAATTATCTTTTTTTGTTAACATATATGAGAAAATTTAACGAGACAATAACTATATTATTATTTTGGTTAATTAACAAAATAAAATATATTATTAGATATTTTGTTGCAAATTAGTGAAAATTTTACAAGAGAAATACAATAAATGTTATTATATCATTAAATAGTTATTAATTAACAATGAAATATAAATTTGGAATTATTAATCGTTTATTAATTATTCTAAAATCTCAAATTAGTGACAGAAAATAATTGTATGTAATGGTTATTGTGATGCTATATTTGATGGTGACAACTTTATTTGATGGCAAAGAGAAGATGTACACTTTTCATATGTCTTGAAAGTTCCAACCAAATAATAGAAAGAAAATATGAGATTTGAAACTACTTGTACTTTCCTTTTTATAGCAAATCAATGAAAAAGTGTAAAAATGTGGTTTCTTTTCAACATTAAAGTTTTCATTTTCCAAATTTAACAAACTTGCAATTATTTTAAATCATAATTATTTCTATACATGATTATGCAAAGGATTTGATTTAAATGAAAGATAAATTTCAAGTTTTTCTTTTTAAATTATGATATTAGTTCCCAAAATTTATGAATTTCATTGCAAGAAAGGGTGAGTTGAATAAATTAGAAACGTTGAGTGTAATAAGTACGACACAAATGCACATTGCAAGGTAGGGTTGTTCCTAATCCCCATGTTAGAAAAAATATTTTAGTGAGCATTTAATGGGCACTTATTCTTCTTCACTACATGTTGAAATTGAATGACATGTGCATTTTCATATAAAAGGAATATTCACACATTTAAATAATCTATGGCATTTGCATGGGAGGGAGCAAGAGAGATTTTCTTACAATTTCACAAGTATGGTCACCAAAAATTATTACCCTTTTTCTTAAAATATTCGTGATGAGGAATCTTGTGTAGCATGGGTTCAAACCTCAAGAACAATTTGTTTTTTACTAACAAAAAGACAAAATGGTTGAGAATTTAGAGTTGCACGAGTGGTGGTGCAACCAAATCATTTGAAGATACTACAATTCAATTTCGCTTCAAATTTACTAATTTGGACCAAACTTCTAGAATCTCAACATGTCACCTTCTCCTGTTCCTACTGACTAACGTGTATTTCATTAAAAATGAATGATGTAATATATATTTAGAAAAATAAAAGTACTAAGAAATGGATTTGGAGTGTGGAGATTCGAAAATATGTAGTGATAAAAAAAATATTTTATTTTTTATTTTTATATATTTAAATTCATTGATCGATTTGTTTAATTGATATGAGATGTGAAAACAGAGTGTTTTGAATGATTTTAAGTACAGATAATAAGGATATCCAAATTGAGGATATGGTATGCATGCTCGCTCCATTAATTTAAGACTTATATAATTAAATTATGCATTTCAATGAACTTCCAGCTGTAGTATGCTGTGAACATTACCATATCGTTGACTTAAGCAACATCATTACCATATCACACTTTCTCCTCTTCTCTATTCTTAAACAAATCTCTCCTCTTTCTTCCAACTTTAACATAGAAGAAGAAAAATACAATCTATAATTCATAAATTATTTTTAAAAAATATAATATAAAAATGTATTTTAGAAACATATAATCCGAAACTTATTTTTAAGATAATTTTTTCCAAGTACATTTATATTAGGGGTAATATTGTCACTTTAGATCAATATAGTTATGCAGGAAGAAAGTACGGGATGAAGGAAGAAACAGCCGAACGTAAATGATAGGTAACACACCAGCAAGCACTTTTTCGGCCCGTTTGAAGTGGGCCTACCTATTTGTGATCCAAAAAAGTTATCCAAATTTCATCCCCATAATTGTTTCATGTACCTCTTAATTAAAGTGAAACGATGAAAATATATTTTTATCCTTTTCGAAATTTTTTTATCCAAAATATACTAAAAATTTCTTAAATTACAGTTTTTGATACATTTAAAAAACTTATATTTCAAAACCTCGGAAAACATTACTAATGTGTTGGAATACTTTTTCAAGTACTCCAAATTGTTTATTTTGTAATAAACAATTTAAATCCAATTTCAGAATGTGGATTTTGGAAATGTAAAAATTAAAATTAAATTTCGTTCAAGCCAAATTTTTTTTCAATTATTTGTAAGTAACATTATCTATGTCTTTATTCATTAATGGTATTCATTAATGGTATTACGAAATATAAAATTTCGCTCGACATTTTAAAACTGAAATATATTTTTAGTTGTTATAAAATTATCAAAAGTTTATTTCAGTTTACATTTTTTTTAGTTTTTATTTTAAAAAAATAAATTATTATTTTTATTTCTATTATTATAAAATGTTTTTGTGTTCAATGTATTAGACTATTGACTTTATCCCCTCCTTATCATTTGGAATTATCAATTGTTGCTTTTAGTGACTATATGGTATTCTACATATTTCACGTACAACCATAAATATTTTTAATAAAAATACTATCTTTTTTATTTAGTATTAGAGTCTCTAGTCTAATTGTTAAATTATCCTTCTTTTTTCCTCGTGCTATGATCATTATATTTTTAACTAGAAAAATTATTTTACTATCTCTCTAATTACTGAGTTTTCTTAACAAGCTTTACAAATTACAAATTTCTATCTCTAATTATTGGCTATATTACTAACACACACAAAATGTCTTCCACCCATCGTTGAAGCTCAAAAAGTCACATCACTTCTAGCTATGATATTATATATGCAGATTTTGATCTTTCATAAAAATTACCATGCAAGAATGGTGTTAGAACTGCGAGAGTATTGCTTGACCTTGTTAATGGCTATTGGTAGTCTTAATCGTGTTAGGTAACTAATGATACTTGTGAGTTATATCAGTAGCTAAGAAAATTTAAGAGCAAACAAAAAGCCTAATCCTATAACTGAAATATCAATAAACTTATACATGTCCCTGATCTATAACTTTAAAATTCTAAGGGATGTACCAAGTAAAAAACAACCTGATTCACCCAGAAGACATACATGGTACATTGTTTCTCCCATGAAGACATTCTACCTAGGAGCCGCCAAGTTCAATATTATCCTCACTTCCGAAGCTGTTTGTTCCATGTCTCCTTCGTGATTGGTCAAAAGTTCCTTGGTTCTCAAATATTTGTGAATCCTCATAGTCATCTCTATCAGATGGCACCTCTATTGTTCTTGATTCTTGGCCACCCTCGGTTCTTATCTGCTCTATCCTTCTAATGGCTTCATCTATCTCTAACCGTTGTAAAGGGTTACTTTCAGCGCAAGCAGCACCAATGCGTAGGAGTTGTTCCATCTCACCCAGTGAATTCCTAGATCCTACAATTTCAGGATCAAGCACTTCTGATTCCCTCCCTTCAAATATTGCGGTTTCAACCCATTGCACCACATCAGTTCCACCCTTGCCAGTGCTGAGATATTGAGAAGGGAATTTCCCAGTGAGTATCTCAAGTATGACGACCCCAAGACAATAAACATCACAACTGTGTGAAATTTGACCACGTTGTACTGCCTCGGGTGCCTTGTAAGCAAACAATACCTGTGCAGCACTTGAAGGGTTAACCATGCGGGTGAACCCGTAATCTACAAGCAGTGGTTCGTTCTCAGGTCCAAGGAGAACATTGCTGGACTTGAGATTTCCATGTGGAAGATCAAAGGAAGCAAGTTCGGTGTGAAGATAACGCAACCCTTCGGCAATTCCACGTACAATTTTTATACGTGCTGGCCAATCCAGCTCAGCATGCGATGGTCCTCTATCACCTGCACATAGAACATTTACTATTTACACAAGTTCTTGATACTTTCAAAACTAAAATGCTTTAGTGTTGTTAGTGAGGAACTCTCACTCTTCCTTCTCTCTCTTGGCATAAGATCCTTAACTTTTCTTAATACGATACGAGAGCAACTCATAGTTCTTGTTTGATAAGAGTTTGTGTAGGGATTTATCATTAAGTTGTTTATATAATATAGACCTTTTTCTTTCTTTTTCATTTGTATAATTAATGCATTTGAAGAGAATTGATAGGACAAAAAACTTTAGACCAAATTTTTGTAAGTGTTTTTCCTAACCAAAGCTAATTCAAACCTTTATAAAAAAGCTAGCTACGTCTAATTTTGTCCATTTGAAAATGTTAAGTTAAAGTGCTCAAAAAGAAGAAGCCTTACCATGCAATGAAAACAGTAGACTGCCTCTGGGAACATACTCAAAGATCACTAGTTTTTCATCCTTTCTGAAATGATAAGCCAAAGGGGTCAATATATTCCCGTGTTTAAGCGTTGTAAGCTTCCTTATCTCTGCATCAAAAGCATCTTTTTCCAACACATTCATCTCTCTGGTCCTTTTCACCACCACTGCCACTCCATTAGCCATGACGGCTTTGTAAGAAGATCCAAAGCCTCCATTTCCTAGCACTTCTGCTGCTGCCTTCATCAAATCTGGCAACCCAAATAAACCCTTCTCATCATTCACCATCACAAGTTCTCCAACGCTTTTACCTTGCGAAGATATAGATGCCCTTTTGGACGATGCTTTTCTGACTGTTGTGGTTGTACTTGTACTTGCATCCGTATCCCTTTTCACTGGTGCAGTCACTTGAACTTCCACTGCACCATCATCAGTATCATTTCCAAGTACATCAACGTTCTCCTCCTTCTTTTGCCTCGATCTCACAATAAAAAAGACAACTATTGAGATAAGCACTACACTCCCAATTATAATGCCAGTAATCTCCAATGGGGAACTCCTATGTGGCAAATGTGCACGACCACCAACATTATCTTGTGCACCTGATGCATCAATACGAGTAGGACTTGGGCTCTCCAATTCACATGGTTTGCCAAAATTATCACCACAAAGACCAGCATTCCCTGAAAACGAACTCTCACTGAATCTCAACAAACCAGCTGGAACTTCACCTTCCAATTTGTTGTTGGAAACATTCAATCTATCCAATGATGGGGTATTCAGATTAGGAATGGTTCCACTAAATTGATTGTTTTCAAGGTGCAACTCCATAAGATGAGGAATTTCGACCAATGAATATGGAATACTCCCCGTGAATTGGTTATCAGAAAGCCACACTTTCTTCAAAGACCTCATTCTCAGGAAATAATCCCCAGGAATATCCCCAGAAAACTTGTTTCCTTGCAAATACAAGGCTTTCAAGAACCCTATCCGGTTGAACTCTGGCATAGAACCTGAGAAAGAATTGTTATTAAGGCTAACAGTTCGAAGACCCTTGAGTTCAAGCAATGGATCAACGTGTATTTCCCCCACTAACCCTATTCCTCCAAGGCGAAGCCCCGTGACAAGACCGTTGTTGCAAGCAATACCTTCCCATTGACCATGATCTCTACATGGTACAGAATCGGGCACCCAACCATCCAATAATTTAGCGTTGGAGAAAGTACTTTTGAGATTCACCAAAGCTTCAGCTTCTGTCATGGAATATATCATAGGTAAAGTGACAATGATCACGAGAGTTGACTGAAGGATTATTGCTGGAGCTATGGCCATTACTTTGCTCAAAATTTGGTGCCTCAAGACGTATTCACTATTCTTGAAAGCGAATGTAATTTTTTTCGAGTCATCGTTTCTACTATTGGTTCGTTTTTCCCTTGTGTTTTTTCGTGACCCTTGCATGCATGCATGGTGAGAGGGTCTCTTTCGGAAGAGTGCAAAGAGAACCTCACAATAAGAGAGCCCTCTAGAAAAAAGATTGGAGTTTCGGTTGAAGAAGTCAAAATGGGATTAAAACTATTATAATCATATCCTTTCATTGTAATTTTAGTATGTTACCAGTATTGCACCTTTCTAGTATTCATGTCTCTGTTGGTGCAAATAAAATATTTAGCTATTTTATCGCAAGTACCTACAATACAAATACCAAACTCTTGCATATATTATATATATATATATATATATATATATATATATATATATATATATATATATATATATATATCACAGGAATCAAAGTACCAATCATTCATTCATATCTTAGTAGAATCAAAATCTTTAAATGATGATGTAGTATTTTCCAAAATGCATAGATGAAAATGTCACATGTCGGAAGTAAAAACAATAATTTGACACCTAGAATGTTAGTTGATACTTGTGAGAGATGCAAAAGAGGTATAATGACATGATGTTGTGATGAAAATGAATATTAATTATATGCTTCAAAAATGGAGTATTGTTCGGTGGTACAAGTAGACTTTGAGTTAACTATTCTATAAGTTTTGTTAAATAGAAAAAACTCTTTCAACTTCACTCTAGATATTAAACGTATAGTTGATCTAGGAAAATCAATGGTTGTAATGACACGCTTCTCAACTTTTTAGATTATAAGAATCTCAGTGAAAAATAATAAAGAATGATTGGTATTTGACACACATCAATATGTTCTTCGTGAAAAGAGAAACTTAGAAAATACATATAATGCAAATCTTAAAAAGATTAAGAATTATAATACAAATAATACAATTGTGAAGGGCGAGTGATTTGAAGCAGAAAAATGAAAAAGGAAACAAAATGGTAATTACACTTAGCCTTAAATATGTTTTTAGGATGTTAAGAGCGTCTATTTTGTTTAAACATTACAAGGGGATACTGATTATTTCCTTGAAGTTACTTTTTCATTGAAAAAAATATAAAATATAGATTTTTTTGGTTGTCATCATAATTAATCAATTTATAATTAATTTCATTTCAATATATTTAAAAAAATCATTCTTTTTATTTAATTTTTTTCTACACTGTTTAATGTTAAAAAATTTAATTAATTGATCATAATAAAATTTAATTCAGACAATTAATAATTTATTTAAATATTTTAATAAATAATTCTGATTAAAAGATTTTTCTAACCTATTTTAAACAACTTCAACTGTAAGAACCCCATGTTCTTGAGAATTCTTAATCTTTTCTAGATTTGAGAAACGAGAAAAGAAAAATAGAAGTATAATTATTTGAATTAAATAAAAAAATATTTGTAAAAATGTATTTATTATTTTAAATTATTTTTTAATTATCAATTATAATTATAATTTTTTAAAATTTGTTAAAAAAACAAAATATTTATATCGAAATTAAAATTTTCTAGTTGACCATGATTAAAATTTGGGTATCACTACAAGAAAATCGCGTATTACAGATCGGATATTTATCGACGGATTTGTAGCGTTGAAAAATAATCATTACCGACGGAAATTACCGACGGATATAAAATATTTATGAAATTTGATGTTACCGAATATATCCGTCGGTAATTTATAGATTAATTTACCGACGGATATATCCATCGGTAAATCCGTCGATAAATTAACAATTAATTACCGACGGATATATCCGTCGGTAAATTCATATGTAAATTAAAAATTATTTACCGACGGATATATCCGATCGGTAAAATTATATAATATAATTTAATTATTCACTAATTAAAAAATAAAATATTTTTTATTTAATAATTTAATTTAATCATAATTAGATTAATTTATAATCATTTATTAAATTAAGTAATTTTAAAAATAAATATTTAATTATATATAAATATATAAAAATATATAAATATATAAATATATAAATATATAAAAATATAAAATATAAAAATATAAAAATATATAAAAATATATATAAATATATATAAATATAGATAAATATATATATATATATAAAAATATATATAAATATATATATATAAATATATATAATATATATATATATATATATATAAATATATATAAATATATATAAATGTATTTGTATATAAATATAATTTATTTGTAAATTGTTATCAAGAAATTCTAGTAGCTTAGTGGTTGGAGTATTAGTCTCTTATAGTAAGATGCTGGGTTCGAATCTGCTAAATGACATTTCTCTTAATCAACAATAATTCAAAGCTTATAAATATATAATATGGAGAAATAATTAGTTTCTATAAAATAAAAATATGTTATAAATAAGTAAAATATTTAATAATTAATAAAATTATTACCGACGGATAAATTTGTCGGTAATTTCGTAACACATTTACCGACAATCGAATTTCTGACGGATTTTTGGCCGTCAAAATTCCATCGGTAATATTTATTTATCAACGAATTTTGACGGTTGGTAATTTTAATATTTCTTGTAGTATGTGTTGAATAGGATACAAACGTGGATTTAACGTATTGCCTCTCATTGGTTGCTATAAATTAAAGTCAAATTTTATGAGTGTTTGGTGAAGGACTATTCAAAGTTGGTGGAAATTAAAGTAAGGTTGCTGTATCATCTTCGTTTCTTTAATTTTCTCCGCATTCTGTTCCTCCACCACCACACATCTTCCTACTAAATCACAAAATGGGTCAAACAAAATATTTAGGCTTCCCCCAAAAATATACAAATCAAAACACGTGCTATGCATTCTTTTAACGGCTAAGAAACATGGTCTATTCTTCAAAAACTTTTCAAGTTTCAGTTATTTACATAAGAAAATACACACTACACTTTTTTTTTACTGTTCATAAGTTCATACTTCACACAACTACACACCATATCAATTTATGTATCGATCAAAATTTCGTGTTGAATCATAGTTATGTGTAAAACTTAATTAAGTTAATGACAATATTTAAAATAAGATTAGTATTTAACTTACTGGAATGAAGGAAATCTGTGACTACAAAAATTTATCTAGCTTTAAGGTTCCTCTGAGGAAAAGAGAAAGTGATTAATGCATGAAAACGAGTGGAAAAACTATTTTTCCTTGTTTGATAAGGAAAATATATTTTTAACTCCATGATTAGGAAAATAATAAAAACACAAATGTCATTTTTCACACCCAAATATATTTATTTTCCACTTATATATATATATATATATATATATATATATATATATATATATATATTAAAATTATAAAAATAAATAATATATATTAATAAAATATCATAAATATAAAAATAATTATAAAAACTGAATAAATAATTTAATATATTTTTATTTGTTTGTAATATTATATTATTTTAAATAATTTAAGAAAAAATATAATAAAAATATTTTATAATTATATATCAAAATATATGTTATTGAAAAAATGAGATGTTAATTTAAATTTATTATTTTAAAATATTATGGTATTAATGAAATTAATTAATAATTATATATATAATTTTATAATTAAATAAATATTTTATTTAAATTAATTATTATTTTTAAAATAAATATTTTTTCTTTTTCATAATAGGAATATTTTCAAATTATTTTATATATTTTATTTTATTTTTCCTTACCCTTTATTTCCTTATTACCGAACTATAAGATAATTAATGTAAAAAATAAAGTTAATTTAATTCATAAAGTTTAAATTAATGGAAAACAATGTATTTGATTTTATGTAAAAAATTTAGCATATTTATTTCTTTATAACTATAGTACTTTCTTATTTATATATTTGTTCTATCTTGTTATAAAGCACATATTAAAGTGTTTTCTTACTATCCAAAAAAATTCTTAACTGTAAAATAAAATAAAAAACACATATTAAAGTATTTTATTTTACATTTCATAAAATGCTACAAAATAACATATGAAAATATTGTCCAATAGTTATATATAAAAAAACTATTATCAAAATAACATTATTTTATATAAAAAAAATAATGATATGATCTGTTTGACATTTCCCCCATATTTAAATGATATGACAGAGATAGAGAACACGGATCGTTCGTATAACAATCCGCAATGGCCCGTTGTTGGGCCCATTAAGAATAATGGTATCATGTGTATAGTACTTGTTACAACCATTTCCATACATTGATTTTTTTCTATATTTTTTTATACACTAAAAATAATAATTTAATATACAAGGAAGCAAATAATAATATACAAAAATTCATTAAGTCATCAAATTTTAAATATTTATATATGATCATTTTAACGATTTTTAAAATAATTATCTAAAAAAAGAAAGAAAAAAAACTATATTTTTTAGTTTCTAATGAAAAAAAAAAATATTCATGTTATTAAACTCTTATTTACAACTCATTCGACAAGAGCTTGACACGGGAACCTGACCCCAGAAACGTGGAAGTTCATATTTTTAAAATTCTAGAAGAGTTTGACTTTCACGGGAAATTTGAGAAAGCGATACAAAAAAAAAAAAACATGTCATAGGAAAACATATTTGCAAATAATTAATGATTATTTCATTTTTCTACAAAAACTTCTCCTTACTTTTCATTTTTTTATTTAAAAAAAACATTTTTTCATGTTTGGCAATTTCAACTTATAGTTTTCAATTAAGCTTTATTTAATAGCTCCCTAGATTATTATAATTTTAAAATTAGTTACTATCTTATATCTTATTTTTAGGACAAAGTCAAATGCATAAAACACATCAAAATTAGTTACGCCACTTTCAAATGGATATAAATATTACTACCTACTTAGTTTTAAATTATTATTATTATTATTATTATTATTATATATATATATATATATATATATATATATATTACTGAAATAGT